TATTTATAGTCATGCCCAACATGCATACAGTATAATTACATGGAAGGACGCTCATTATTCATACTACAGTAAAATAAATCATTCCCTTGTTTCCCTTCTTAGATGAAAGATCCCTGGGAAACGTTGGATCCTCATGATCCAAGTGGCGGAATTGAAAAGATTTTTAAGAAAGGTATCATCAAACTAATTGCTTATTTCACCATATGATAGCTAGTGCCTAAGTATAAGGTTTGGTTTCTTGAATTGTTGGTTCTTCTAGTGCAGTTCAACAATTGTGACTATTCTCTGTTGGTGTTAGTAAGCAATCCCCGAGAAGATAACATTCCAAGGTTTCCACACTCCATTCTAGTAAAGAGCGTTTCCAACTTGGGGCAAGAGAGTAATCCGCTTGTAAAACAAAACTTACAACTGCGCAGGCAAACTCGTGAGTCATTAGCAGTCATTAACAATGGTTATTGTTAAAGGCGTAACTTAGATGCGTGGCACATAAATGTCAACAGAGGCGGACACGAGGAGCAAATGACCCCGCCCCCTCCCCATCAATAATTTGTAAGGGACGGACCATTAGAAAAGTGAGGGGGGGGGGACAGAAAAAAAATCCATGCAAACAAAAAATGTTTGAAAAAAAATACATGCAAACAAACTTGTTTAAAAAACAATTACAAACAGAACAACAATAGAACTTTCATTTTAAATGTACATCAGACAAAATTGAACTAAATCTTTGGAATATTACGAAACATAAATATATAAATATATAATATATTAATATGCAATTTCTTTCAATATTAACAGTAACTCTTATATAATTTTATTATATACTATCAAAATATTTTCTATTGTCTTTAATAATCCTCATTCACACTGTCACTGTCCTCGATCAGTGGCGTAACTACTATGGGCTCGGACCGGGAGAACCCGGGGGCCCCAACCCCAATGGGCCAAATGGGGGCCCCAGGCTCAGGCTGTAGAGCAAAAACATTGGCCAGGGCCTCTGATATGTTACAATGTCGTTTTCTGACCATCAGAATTCTGTAAAATCTCTCCCCAAACTCCGGGAAATGGTATTTCAGAGAATCTAGATTCAAAAATTTTCCGGGTGAGCATGCTCTGGACCCCCTAGAAAACTTTTGCATATATGGCGCTTGACTTGTGCCTTTGGCACTTCTACTAGGGGGCCTTCGAAAGTTTTTAACCGGGGGCCCCTGAAATCGCAGTGCCACTATCTTCTTGATCTACAACCAAACTACCACTTTTCCCTTCATCTACAATCAAACTGACACTATCTCCTTCATCTACAATCAAACTACCACTATCCCCTTCATCTATCAAACTGACACTATCTTCCTATCTATAAATATAATCTCAATGGCAATATCTTCTTCTACATTTTCTTTTCCTCTACTTAATCTTGCTCTTTTCTTTTATCATGTTTGTTTCTTCTTCCTTTTGCTCATTTGTTCTACCATACTTATATCATTAAATGATATCTGGTTTAGCCTAAAATATCCTTAAAGATATTATTTTGCAGTGTGCATTAAAGAGATATTTTTTGTCAAGAGAACAGTTTCGTTAACATTTGTATAGTTGTATTGGAAAAAAAATTGCATGCGAGAAAACATATTTAAAAAAAACATGCATACACAGCTGACAACCTGCAAAAAAATGCAAACATAAAAAATTTATTTCCATCATCACTTTTGTAATGGTCCGTCCCTAAAAGCTTATAAACGATTGCCATTAATTAATTGTAAAAACAAAGCTACAACCTTACAATAATTTTACAATCGCGAAAATCTTCATAGGCTGCTATCAAGATTTTTGGCATCGTGTTCGAGAAGGGATATTTGTAGATGGAATTTTCGATCAAAAATTTGTATAAAATTTTATATATTTGTAAACGATTTGATATTTACCCATATACTTAACACTGGCATCGCTATACAAGCCATGTTGCCGCAACATAAGCCAGGGATGACCTCATAGTGAACAAGGTTAGGTGGACATACTGAACTGTTATGAAATTTACGAACACATTAGACTGGAGTGTCCAAATAAAGTACTTGTTATTCTTTTTCTAAGGGCGACCTTTCAAGATACCTCCTTCTGCCAGAGACGATAAAGTATCCGTGAAGAAAAGAAAGCGAAAGTCTCAAGAAGATTCATTAGTGAATGATAAATTAATTCCTATTGCTGAGTTTTGTCGACTAGCATGTAAGTACAGTAGGGTGAACTGTAACGGATAATTTCCGACGATCTACGAAGACAACTCTTTCTCAGCTGCGTCCTCGCCCATAGACGCAAAGTGGATGCATGGCGCCCGCACAGTGGACGCACCCGCAAGCGCTCGCAGACGGCACAGTGGCCAGGACAGACGCACCCGTGGACGCACAGTGGACGCAAGATACCCGCGTCTTGGACGCGGTTTTTGATAAGTTATTTCTTGGCAGTACTGTAGGATTAATTAATTAAGTATTAATCGTGTTCATTTGGCATGAACTTTGAAATAATCCCAAGTTAAGAAACAACAAATTACAAATTAAGGAAATGTTGACGTTTTTATCTGACAGTGCATTGGTCTCACCTCACTAATTTACGACCGTACACATGCAGGCCACACTGAATTCTTTCATGAGTCAATAGAAAGAAATTACAGTATTTATTAAGGGGAATTAGGGAAGATTTGTGAGATTTTTAATAAATGATTTAAAGTTTTTAGTTCTACTCTTAGACTCAATGTTCTTGACGTACTTTTAGACTTATAGTTCTACTCCAAATAAGGATCAGCCATTGACGTTAACTTTTGCAATTACCATGCATTGATTTAGATCATTCCCAAGCAAAGAAACTACCAAAAAACCCGCTAAAGACTCTCGTTTATCATGGTAATGTTTTACTAATTTTTTCTATCGACGACTACACCTTAGGAAATGCCAAACAAACGACAATTGTCCTTAAATTTACAGTATAAGCATGTTTCTACAAGTTTATTCTTGGGTTTCATATGACATCACAAAAGTGACGGGGGGTCAACTCTAGAACAAAACACAGTTATCAGAGTGAGTCGATTGTTCGTTTTATGTATTAACCTTGTGTTTGGTGGCAAATACATGGAATTTCGTATCATTTTCTCACTCCAGTACAGCATAAGCACCAATATATTTGAGGTTGACCCCCCCCCCGTCAGATTCACTGCATAATGCCGTAGTGAAACCCAAGAATATGTATTTTAATGCACTACAAAAGTGTGAAAATAAGTTTATCAAAGTTAACCAACTATACAGAATATTGGATCATATGATTGTCAAAACGAGAGAAATTTGTTGTTTATTTCGAATTTGTTGTATCGTTGTTACTCAAGCCTTTGTATAAAAGGCAAGACCATCCAAGGAATGTTTTTGGAGGCATCAAGGCCACTATACAAAAGAGTGACTTCTATGTTAACAGTAATTTAATTCATTTAATTCTTCAAATTCACCAGAATTCGAGTATATCTACTGGAAAGAATTCAGACGTCGACAGATATTAGAAAAGAAACACCGAAAAGCTTTGGTAAGCTTCCTACTGTGTGTAAATACTGCACAGTTTAAAACAGTTCACTCTCCAGTACAATACCTTGAAATATATTCCAATTGCGAAATGACAGTATTTTTCCGGTTTAAATCTTAAAATTGCAACTGATATAAAAAAAACAGTAGCCTAAATAGCAGTTTTAATGTCTGGTTTTGTTATTTTCCCCATTAACAGTAGCTTCCCGACAACCATGCAAGGAAAGTCACGAAACCAAAATAACTTAACCACGGTGTTCTCAAAACGGATTACGGTTAACATTTCTATGACGCAAATTTACATGTGCATATGATCAAATGCGCTTTACATCAAGTATTACGCTTACCTATAATTACTTACTTACCCTAGACTATTTTATCTTTGCAACAAATATGATATTACTTTCTTTACTGTGTTTATCCTAACCCACCCTGTCAACTTTCCCTGTTGGAGGAACCGGAGCACTTGTAGAAAACCCACGACTTTTGGCAGAGGTTGACTGACCCTTTTCACGTGAGCCCGTATTCCGTAGCGAGAATCGAACCCACCATCTCAGAGGTGAAAGGCGCTTGCTCTGATGACTGCGCCACCGAAGCCCCGTTTCAGTATTGGCAAGCACATTTCAGTATTGGCCCCACATTGGCAAGCACATTTCAGTATTGGCCCCCACATTGGCAAGCACATTTCAGTATTGGCCCCACATTGACAAGCACATTTCAGTATTGGCCCCACATTGGCAAGCACATTTCAGTATTGACCCCCACATTGGCAAGCACATTTCAGTATTGCCCCCACATTGACAAGCACATTTCAGTATTGCCCCCACATTGACAAGCACATTTCAGTATTGCCCCCACATTGGCAAGCACATTTCAGTATTGGCCCCCACATTGACAAGCACATTTCAGTATTGCCCCCACATTGGCAAGCACATTTCAGTATTGCCCCCACATTGGCAAGCACATTTCAGTATTGGCCCCACATTGGCAAGCACATTTCAGTATTGGCCCCACATTGGCAAGCACATTTCAG